ATATTTTTCATTTTGTTTGAATCGTTTTTTTGCTTATTTTTTTCCCTCTTATTTTTTAAAAAACAAACTTGACTGAACCTTGAATTTAGACCAAGCTAAAAAATTAAATAAAAAATAACAAGGAAAATATCAAATAACTTACTTCTTCAAAAATTTTGCTTGACCATATGGTTGTTTTTGCCGTGAGTAAAACCGACTTTTTCTCTTTTCAAAAGAAAATGTTAATGATCCAACAAATAATAAAAATCTTTCAATTTCATTAACACTTACAACACAAAGAAAAGATTATTGAAAATAAAAATAACCATTTAATATGTGTAGTGTTTCAAAGTTTGTTTTTTTTAAAGAGACAACCATAAAATAACAACAAGTTAGAACGATTTATTGTGTATTTTGAAGTGGGGGAGAGTCGTAATGTGAGAGGTAAAATACGGTTATCTCACCCATTCAAACTACTCGTCCATTACCAAAAGGCAAAAATGCCGATTTTTTGAGAATCTCAACAGTGAAAAAGACTGAATAACAGTCTCAGAAAATCGGACAAGTTTGTTCTAATTTTTTGTTAAAATCCCGAAATTTTAATTGAAATTTATAACTGTATTGGTTTTGAGGGTTAAAAAGTCGGTACTGTTTTTTCTTTTTTTCAAATGGAAATTATAAATGAAAACAACAAAAAAACTTTAAAAAACGGGAATTTATTATAAAAGGGTTTCCACTAATAATTGGTAAAGTACCGACTTTTGGCATACAGTTTACATTTTAATTATATTCAATCGCAATAAAAACATAAAGTAAACGTACAAGTGTTCCACAATCGAGTTCGCACTTTGTTTCCTTCAAATGTCTCTTCACATGCCATAAAGTCGATACAATAACACACTGGTTTAGCATGATAATAGTCGTTTAATCGATTTGTAGCTTTACAACTAAATGTTAGTCGTCCAGTGTCCGACTCTCCCGTGACTAAAATATCAAAGGAAATGACAGGTTGGTTTTCTTCTGCCATTATTTCGCTGTTTTAATTCCAAGTTTTTTTTCAAATAATATATTTTAACTCTGGTGTTTCTAATAATTGCTTTTGAATTGTTTTTTATTTTTATTCGAAAGAAAAGGATCAAAAATAAATTCTTGACACTATTTCAGTATTTCAATATTTTTTCTTAATCATCATTTTAATATTTTAATTTTACCATTACATCAAATAAATCAATTGTATATGAACAACAACACTACATTTTTAATGGTTTTAAAGTGAGAACATTTTTAAACATTACTATATGATATATTTAAATCAGTGTTTATATAATTTGTATGACCAAACAATGTTAGACTCATTAATAAATAACATACATGAAATAAAACGTGCAAACTTTTTATATATAATAAATAATACATCAAACTGGAACTTAAAATTACAACATTAAGTCTAAATATCATTTAAATAAAAATTACTTTTAGTTTACCGATTTAAGTTTACATTCATCTGTAAACATTTTATTATAATCATGTTTCTGGTATGGAAGGGTTAAAAAAAACTTTATTTGAAAAACTGATGATTAAAAGAAACTAAATAATAATAAAATGTGATATGTATTTAGAGACAAATTTTTGGTATTAAAATTCGGGATTAAATCTATTGTTTAATTCGTTAAATCTATTGAGAGTTTGGAAGTCCATCACACATTTGTTTTGTAAATCGAAAAAAGAACAATAAAAAACTAATAATTCATTTTCAAAATAATGTCAAAAACAATAAAAATAGTCATTCTAGGCAGCGGCGCAGTTGGGAAGTCTGCTATTACAATTCAGTTAGTCTCTGGACAGTTCATTCAAATATACGATCCGACTATCGAAGACTCATATAAGACGTCGATATCTGTTGATGGTGAAATCGTCCCATTAGATATTTTGGACACTGCGGGACAAGAAGAGTACTCTGCGTTACGAGACCAGTACATGCGATCTGGTGATGGATATATCATAGTTTATTCTATAACATCCACATCATCGTTTTTAGACGCCAACGTCATTCGAGAACAACTCTATCGAGTGTTGGACAATGATGATGCCGCACACTTCCCAATTGTGTTGTGTGGTAATAAATGCGATTTGGAGAACGAGAGACAAGTGTCCATGAAACAGGGAACCGATCTGGCACACGAATGGAAAGTCCTTTTCTTTGAAACGTCGGCTAAAAACAAAATCAATATAACAGAGGCTTTCCAAGAACTCGTCAAAGATATCAAATTGCACAAATTGGATGATGAAGAAAACAATGAGTGTGATGACGAACTTAACAATGATAATAAATTCAAAACATTCTTCTCGTCTGGAAAATGCGTCGTGTTGTAAACAAATTTATAGTTTTTGTGTTACATTTGTTCTAAAGACAATTCAATTTGTACAACAAATTGTTATAAGATTAATAAAATACATCATAATCTATTCTAATTAATACTTATAATTAATAATTACTAATACTATATTCAAAATTAATATAGTTAAATTTTATTATAATTTATAATACCCAATTTACTCATTAATTTAATATGGTATTAAAAATGTTATTAAAACCAATAACATTTTATAATTATTATTATTTAATATGAATACATTTTATAATTTTGTTTTAACTAAACTTTTACACTTTCTTATTTGAATGATTCACATTTGCAGAAAACAAAAAGTTAAACTAAAAATACATTGTTTTGTCAACAAAAATTTGTTTGGTAAATAACTTTGTTTTTCATAAACAGCAACAGTGTTGTAACATTAAATAGGACTTAATTGTGTTAGATATGATGTGAAAGTGATAACTGACATCCAATATGAACAATTTGTTGAATGAGGTGATGTCTCTCTGTGGGACGTGTCAGAAAGCACTTGATGCCCTTGACAAATACAATTTGGAAATGAACTTTGTAGACGACACTTCACTTCCACTTTCTGACCGAATAGAACGCGCTGAAGTGTTTTTGAAGAGTCTGAAGGAAGTGCTGTCACATCGTCAGAGTGTTGTAAACTCATCAAAAGAAGTTCTCCAAAGACTTTCAGTTCTTCAATCAAATTTGGCACATAAAATTGAAGAAGTAGAAAGTGACAGTGATGTCACAAAATACACCAAAACAGTTGACGTCATCACTGCGTTGTATCGCGAAGAGTGTGACACACTCAAAAAGCCACTTGAAGACAAAATAGTGAATATCGAGAAGACGAGAGACACAAAAATTGAAACCATCAAAAGCATCGAGAACTTCACTTTTGTAGGAAATGCACAATTACAAAACACACAGAAAGCCGAGAAAACAGACAAAGAAGAAGTTGCAAAGCCGCAACACGTTGAGAACGGCCAAGTCAACTTCAGTGGGTCTCAAGAAATCGAGCAATTGAGTGGGTTGAAAGTCGGCGAAGTACTTTTTGACAGTGGCAGAGACAATTGGGCCAAAAACACGTCAGTCTTTGGTGACAAAATCCTTCACAAACAAAATTTACTATTTCTTGTCGAAGATGACAACAGAAACATCTTTGGAGGTGTTCTCTATGAAAAAGTTGTGAAAGAAAAGGAGTTTGTTGGCAGTCAACGTTCCTTTGTGTTTTCGTTGGAGAGAAATGGAATTGTCAACCCACGAAAATACGAATTGAAAGGCTCAAACAACCAATACGCGTTTTATTTGTACTGCAAGAGTCACGAATGTCTCTTTGGGTTTGGAGGTGGGCATGCTATTGGTGTCTTCAAGAAGGGGAGTCTCTCACGGTCTTACTGCAACCCATCACTCCAATCATCGTCTTATACTGCTAAACTTGGCGACTTGACTGATGGGAGGTATTTTAAAGTGAAGAGCATCAAAGTGTATCAACTCTACTAATTCACAATGAATTAATTATTTATTATAATTAAACTATACTATTATAGTTTTATAATAATTTATAAACAAATAATATAAATCAATTGTAATCACCATATCCACCATATTGATCATCATAATAACGCCCATCAGAGTGTTTTCTGTATTGCTGTTGTGTGGATGTTTGGTGATACTTTTGGCTTTGAAGTTGTCTGTATCGTGCGAGTTGTTCTTTTTCACGTATCTTTTGAAGTTCAATTTGCCTGAGTCGCTCTTCTTCTGCCCTTTTCTTGTCTTCTTCGATCTTTCTCAGTCGCGCCTGTTTCGCAAGTTCTTTTTCTTCCTTTTCATTCTTCTGCTTTTGTAAAAGTTCTGCTTGGTGTTGGCGGTATTGCACAAGTCGCAATTTTTCAGCTTCATTGTGTTGTTGAATTTTCTTTTGTTCTTCAAGTGCTTGTTTGCGTTTTTCTTCATTTTCTTTTTCTTTTTTTTGCTTTTTTGGCATCTTCAAGTGTCTTTTTGGAAAGATGAATTGCTTCGTATTTCAGTCGTTGTGCTTCTCGATACTTTTCCAAACGTTGTTGCTCAGCCTTTTTCTTTTCATTTGAATCAATTAGTTCTTGTGGCATCAAAACATCATTTGATGAATTCGACATGTTGTTTTAAACTAATTATTTTTAATTGTGAATTTTTTATTTCGAATATTTTTATTAATACAATCAATTAGTTAAATAATTTAAAATAAAAATGAATTCATTTTCAATAAATAAAGTAAACTTTACTAAAAGTTAAAATACAAAATTTTGGTAATTCTTGGTTAATAATAGTAACTCTTTAATAAATGTTATAATAAAAGGCATATCAATTACTCGACCAGCACTCAATTGATTGACAGCACAACCATTGACCAAAATACCCAATAAAAATTTTAGTTGTGTTTGTGTTTTAAATAATTATCACTCATGTGTATTTTTATAATTATAAATTGATTGACATAAAGTAAATACAGCGTTTTATTTTTTAGAAAAACCAAAGTGGATCTGAACTCGATTAACAAATGTATCTTTAGATAGTTCGGTTTGGATCTCCTTCAATTTACCAATTGTGAGTGTGAAAAGCTCGAGACTCTTAAAGCACGTCAACGGGACTGCAATAAACTTGGTGATCTCAGTGGTACAATACACGGAAGTTTTTACAACCATGGGTAATTTGAGTTTTCATAACGAAAATGAGTTGCCTCGAGGTTCCCGAAAACACAATTTGCTATACGGAATGGTTGATATGACTGACTAACACTGATTTGTAAATAAAGAGAAAGCGCGTTTTTTCCTATTCCAAATCGGATGTCGAAGTCGTCGCCATATTATTGGGTGTAACAGAGAGTCTTCTGGTTATTGATGTATTTAAAAACGTGTTGGTTTAAAAAAATACATAAAACTCTTAAATTACAGTTAAACGAAAAAAGTGGGATGCTGATCTAAATATTAATTAATTTAATATTATTTATAATAAATAATTAATAAAAATTTATTTTGGTGTTTTTATTTTATTCATTTTTTTATTTATAATTTATATTAAAAATAATAATAATTTTATTAATTTTCAATTGAAATTAAACAATAGTTAAGAGCATCCTCCTTTCTTTAGCATCCCTATATTTCCTCATATTGTAAACGACTAGTAAATTTAATATTAAATTAAAAATAAATGTGCCTTTTTTATTGCTTTGGTTTTTGCACAAGCCAAATCATCATTATAATGTAAGTATAAGTTGAAAAGAAGAAAGATGGGGAATGAGGTAACTGGAGATTAACAACAATGTCATCGACGCTGTATTTCAAATAGAATACTCAAATGTTGGTGGGAATAGAGGGAATGGAATTAATGATTGGGGATACATCAGTGATGGGTATTGGACTATGAAAAAGGTATTTGAAGGGAGTCGAGATGTTATATATCTCAAAAGTTACGTGTCACCAGCCTCATTTTTTGGCACAGAAGCTGATAAAAATGATAATCACTTTATTAGTTGACCAAATAATTATCAGAGACCAAATAATTGAAAGAAGGATGTATTTTCCATTGATTACCTAAAAATATCATGTAAATAAGACGTGAAAAAAGGTTTACCAAATAATACTAAGACACTTTTTTTGCTTTCTAAAATAAACCAAAAAGCGATTAAAAATAACTTAAAAATATAAAATAATGTCGAACTTTTTAAATATTTTTGTTTTCATTGTGGTTTCTTTTTGAAATGTCTCGCCATAAAAGATGTTCATAGTCCTCACTCCCCAATAATTGTTTTTTATAAGGGTTATTTATTACAACGAAGCAACCCAATGGAACTCGTTGTTTTTCCAATCTCTTTCTGTATGATAAGGTTTGTTGTTTATTTATCGTCAATTACTTCTTGAAATATCCAATTACAAACACCAAACCACGATTTAAAATATGCATTTCATAGAAACTTTTTAGACCTACTTAGTGTTTATCAGTCTATTAAACGGGGTTTAGTTTTTTTATTTTCTCTCACTGTTTTTTAAGTTGCGCAAATCATAGAAGTTGTGAATGTCACAAAATCACAAAAAACTTCACTTATTATTTTTGCAGCTGCAGACGTTCTGGCACTGTGCTGAATATCAAGTTTCTTGGAATAGAAACAAGAAGAAATTGTAGTTGATGCGATTGCCCGTTAGAAACATGTATTTCAGTTGGATCGATGATGACATTTAAAAAATGATAAAACGTGTGAGAAACAAAATATCTATCTGACATCTCATTACTTTGGTCACATTCTGTATTTTCCATTCTTCGGCAAACTCTTAAACTCCACGTCGTATCATTTCCAAAATTATCAGATATGGATTTATTCCTCAAAAATGATGGTAATATCTCATTTTCAGCTTTCAGATAACATCTATTCTCTGAAAGTCCGATTTTGTAAGTATTGACATCGGCCTCATTAGGATGGTAATACTCCAAAAATGTTTTTAAGTTCAACAAAGAGCCAGTGATGTTTTCCAAAACTCGGTACATCTCAATATCACAAATTATTTCTCTAACTTGAGAAAGGGACATCTCTGTCATTTCTAACAGTACTTTCGACAAATTTGTAGCATCAAAAAAAAGAAATTGGTTATGACTTCAAAATATCGATTTTATTAGCTTTGATTTTCGATTTGTATGTGTCGAGGAAGCGTCGAGCTTCTTTGATGTCAAAATAACATCTCAAGACTCCGTCTTTAAAAACGGAAATGATGTCATTCCTTTCAAAAGATGCGACAATTATTCTTTTTGTACTTTTGTTAAACAAAGTCTTGGCAACCCCAAGAATCTTAACAGTATTTGCAGTACCATTGGCATCTCTTTTATTTCCTGGTTTGTAAAAACATTTACATACTTGTTCGTCCATTTTAGAAAAGTTTTTGAAGAGATCGTTAAGGTATTCTTCATCTTCATCGTTATTTATGGTGCATAAATATACAACTTCTATTTGTTGACTCTCAAAATGTTGGGGTAAGTTGCTTACTCGTCTCACAGTAGTTGTCCCATTTATCGACTTTTTAACAACTCCAAAAAGCACAGATCCAGCGGTTGCATCAAATGACTTGAATGTGGCGCATATATGTGGAGCCGAATGTTGTTCGTGTATAACATCCCCAAAAAAATTCCATCAATGTGTCCACTAAAATTATCCATTGCAATAGTTGCCCATTCCTTAAAAAGATTTAGAAGAGCTTTTTTTACAATCTTCGCAACTAGATCGGCCATGTAATAAACGAAAACGTTTTTGGTCGCATATCCATTGGAAGAGTATAGAATAATTGGGTCCGGATATGAATTCTTTACTTCTGAGAAATAGCTCTTTTGACTCACAATCAAAGCGTACAAAGTTGGTTGTTTATCGGCAGAAATACAACATATTGCGGTTGAGTGTTTCAATGAACGACTGACTTCATAAGTTTTTTTGGGAAGTGTCTTTAGATTGTTTAACGATAAGATGTACTTTTATGTCTGCCCAGTCATTTGAACCCATCACATCGATGTTGAAAAAAGCGCCATCGATGGAATACCATCGATGGCTTTGAGATCATTCATGTTTTTTATAACTGTTTTATAACTTAATTCAATTCGATTATAATCATCAGCATTCATTTGTTAAAGTGTAACTTAGTTTGTCTCTTAAATAAATGCGAACTGCTTCTCTTGTGATGTTTTCCAAATCAAAGTGTTTACTCAACAAGACCACGTTTCCAATCAACGAACAAGAAAGCCCAAGTAAACGCAATTTGCCCATAATACTGTTAATTTCATGATCCATATCCTTTGTTATATTCCCCTTTGGTCCACGACGCACTTCTTCAACTTCCTTCTTCAATGGACAGTCGATTGCTCCACTTGAACAACCAAACATTAATCCTAAAAGCGAAAGCGATGAGCCATCAATACTTTTCAAAAATTCTTTCTGCCCTCTTCTTGTTGTCAAATTGGAAAAATATCATTTTTGAAAGCCGTCTCAAGCAAAATAACAACTTTTTGTTGTTGTTTTCCGTTATTATTTTCGTGGAAAATGTTATCTATGATTTGTTTCTTTGAAAGTGCAAGAAGTCTTGGACAATTGAATAAAATGATTGGGTCTTCTTTTGGTTCAGACATGTTTTTTAGTTGTTGGTTCATTTTCGTCTTTTTATATATTTAGCTTTTTTAAAAAAGAAATATATTGTTTCATGAAATCTATTTTAATATAGTTCTTGATTAAAGTTTTAAAACTTTTTTATTTCACTTCTTATAATTACTTGGTTTCTGACTATTACTTGGTCAATTGTATATGTATTTTGATGAAAGGTAAGGGACTAAATTTTACAAATTTAAAAATGACACAGGTATCTATTTTCTTTTGGTTGCACGAGCGACTGAAAGAAACACAAGATATTTCTGTAAAATCTTTGAGTAAGAAATTGACGCCAAAATTGCAAAATAAACTGTTTTTCAAAAGTCGGTACTGTCATATTTTTAGAACTTCCTAAAGTCCCGTTTTTTATTTTCGTTTTTTCCTAAAAAAATAAAAAACAAAAAATCGAAAGTACCGACTTTATTTTGAAAAAAATACCAATCCCGTTCAATTATTTTCGTACAAATTCGGGAAAATGTTGGAATATTAGCCATCTTTTTCCAAAAAACCCGATCCCGTTATTTGATTTGACCTCAACTCGATACTTCACAACATATACACAGCATTGTTGGCATAAAAGCACAACAATTAATGTTTAAGTGAATTTGGATGGTGTTGTTCGTGTCGAGTTTTAACTGAATATTACTCTCGTTAAAATTTAATTGAAATTTAAAACAAACTGTGGTTATCTTCTCCGAATAAAAAATAATGAAATATAGAGTTCCAAAAACACCAAAAAATAAATTACAGCAAATGTTTGATAATTTTGACAGACCAAGTCAAAGAACAACACAAGAAAAGACGATAAAATGATAGAACAATATTGTTCTGTTATGGACTATTTTAAAAATGATGTTCTCACTAAATGCTCAAAGAGAATGTCGACTTTATAAAACCCAACAAAGATAAGTTATCAAATCATTTTGTTATTTTTATTGTTTTTGTGACAACACTACTAAGCATACTAATCTTCGAACCCAGCTCTTGTTTTGTAAATATTTTCATAAATTAATGAATTATTTGATAATGAAAAAAATTGACATTAAGTTTATTTGCTTTTGTACTAAAATGCACTTTTGGGACAATTCACATGTTTATTAGAAACAAAAATCCCGTTATTTCAAATTTTATATGGATTTTTTTAATGCTTAAAAATTCTTCAAGTAAAAAAATATGTTTTGAAGACTGTTTTTCTCTTTTTTACTTGGAAAAAATAAGCGATATTTATTACAAAAAAAACGATTCCCAAAAATAATAAACAAAATCAATGCAAAAAATCGGGACACCTCAGTACCGACTTTTGAAAAACAGTTTATATTCAGAGTTTTAAATACAAAACATAATTCTTATTCTATAATTTGTACTGAAAAAAAATAAGTTTTTAAACAATCAGATGTATTCAGTAAAAGAATGCAATACCACCAGTTGTGGAGTTCAGTGTTTGGAAATGCCGAAAAACCAGGACAACTCGGACAAATGCGAAAACATTTTTGATCGCAATACTAATACTATTTATCACTCAAAATGGACAAATGAAGGAACTACTTTCCCAGCTACTTATTTGTTCAATTTCTCTGAGACAGCAAAATTCAATTCAATACAATTTAAAATGAGATTTGCAAGAGACTGTTTTGGTCTCTTTGAAGTCTTATGTGGAGATGTAAATAAGGAGTTCACAAAAACTCTTGAAGAGACGAAGAATTCAACAAAAACTACAAGGACTTACACTTTCGAAGAAATATATCAGTGCAAATATTTGAAATATGTAGTCAAAAATAATGCACAAAATCAAAACTTCTTGGTATTCCAAGATCTCAATTTGTTCCTTACACAAAAATACAAAAATTTGGCGAAACCGACGAGTAGGACGTTTAATGTAAATGGATTCAAAGTAACCAAAAGAGCCGGACATTTTGAAAATAAACTATTTGAAAATATCGAGGAGGGAAAAGGAGAAATATCTTTTAGAATGAAAGGAAAACGGTTTGGTATTTTTGGAGATTACACTGAGGATATGGGGACTTGGGAAGTTCTCGTTGATGGAAAAGAACCCCTGATCACTCAAAGAATGGAATCGAAGAAAGAGTTGCCGAGAACTCTTTATGACATTTTTATTTTTGATGAAGGAGTCCATGAAATCAAGATGAAAGTCGGGTCTGGATTTGTAAAAGTCGATGTAATAGGATTTGGCTAATTATTAATTCGTTTTTTGTTATAAAAGGTTTATTCTTTTTTATATTTTATAATTGTATTGAAAAATGCAATAAACATATAATAGTAATATAATAGATTTGTTTTTTGTTTTACATATTACATAACATTTTAAGAACAAATAATACATATACTATTATAATAAAACAAACACAAACAACGCAATTGTTTTTGCTAAGTAATAATTGTTTATAAAATTGTTTTTCAAATAGATTGTATTTTTGAGTTTATATATTAACTGTTCAAAATTTAAATATTAAAAGTAATCAAATACAATTTTAAAGTTACCAGAAAACAATTTATTGATATTATTTGAATGAAATAGTAACATATTTTACAATGAAAGAATGTTATCTTTTCAATGTTTATCATAAACACGACATTAATAATATCATTTCCAATTATATTACAAAGTTTATAAAAAGTTTAAAATATGTTAATAATTTGTCAATTTTTAATCATGTTATAACTACAATTGAAATAAAAAGTTTTACAACTACACTTTTATTTAAAAAACATAAAAATGCAAATTATTATAGAAAAGAAAAATTAAACTTAAACAGATAAAAATAATACATAAAATTAAAAAACTTCAGTTTTGTTATTTAAAAAATTTTATTTGTGGTTCACATAAGTGTGGAGATATGATATCAATAATTATTTGTTGTTTAAAAGTTATTTGTTTGTGTTTAGCATTTTTGTTGTGACTTTAGTTCTATAAAATACCATTATGTATTTTACTTTACATTGAACGTGTAATATTTTTTGTTCATATCAACTAAAAAATTAGATTCAAATATAAATATTAGAGTAATTATGAAAAAAAGTTGATCTCAATTGTTTGAATGTTTAATTTACAAAATAATATGGTAATTACACGACAATTCAATAATTATAAAAATTTATTTATTAACAGTTTTAATTTAACTTAAAAATCAATATAACAATAAATTATGTTTTTAAATACATATTTATTGATATGGTTCAGGGTGGCAAACGGGATTCTATCAGCGCGTTCAATATGGAAAACCCAAGTTTTTTTTTCCGCGCATGAAGAATAAATATTTATTATTAATTTATAATTTTTTGTTATAATTATAGTTACATCGACGCTCATAGAGACGCTTTCTTGACACGTTGCATATACTTGAAACTATTTACCAATCTAAAATAATGGTAAATGTTCTAAAGTAAATAAAGTTGAGTTTTTTGAAGAATAGTTTTGTGTGGTTTTGTAAATAATTTTAAAAAAAATTCATTATTGCATAAAAATAAATCATTAGTTCATTTAACCATAAATTTAATTATTGGTAAAGTCGACTGTATTTTGTCAATAAAAACAAATAATAGTCAATAAAATCATTATAACAATAAAAAACATAAAAGGAACATTTTAAAAAACAATGCAAAAACCAAACTAGAATAACAAACTCAAAAATCAATGTTAAAGTCACAAAAAGAATTTTGTCACACCGATACAGAAAAAAATTCTGAATTTGACGAAGTGTACATGAGAAAAATTTTCTTCTTTTTAGATGGTAAGAATTGTTCGTGCATACTCTGTGGATATTCACATGAAGTAGATGCAAAAGTAAAATGGGACTGTACCAGACACTTCTGGAGTCATGGTCGTCCACAGGCTTCTGAAATTGTCATGAACAAAATAAACGAACTCTATAAAAAGGTGTACCAAACAAACAAAAACAATGGAAGTACAACCGAAAAAATAAAACGTTCATTCAAATGTGCTTTTGATTTAAGCAAAAAATTTCTTCCTCTCGCTGTCGGAAAAGTAATCGCAAAACAACTCAAAGATAAAGACCAACACGATTCAACTCCTCTATCTAAAACAACTCTCGCAGAAAGACCCCTTTTAATTGGAAATAATTTGGATGAAATGATGAGGAACGTGTTGTCAACGTGTATCGCCGCTTCTTTTTGTGTGGATACCACAACGGATTGGGGAGGTGATGATTATATTATATTATTTGTAACATACACCGATGTAAAGTTTAACATCAACGTGTCAATTTTTGACTTTCAAAAATGTTGGGGAAAATCTGGTGAAATAATGGCAAAACAAATATTACATATCCTTCATAAATATATTGACTTAAACAAAATTGTGGGTTTGACTGGAGACTCTTGCGCTTCAAACTTTGGTAAATATAATGGTGCACTTGTGGTTTGTAGTGAGGGGATAAAAAGATCATGTTTAGTTGCATGTGAAATCAACGAAATAAATCTCATTAAATGTTTTATTCACCAAGAAGCATTATGTGCCAAAAGTATGATAGCAGAAACTACAAAAGAAGAAAATGAAAGAAAGATACGAGCTAAAGATGGAGGTATTTTTGGTGTTTCCGATCTTTCAAAAATTGAAGAATTCCACACAATTGCCACTGTAATATTTAAAATCATTACCGCAGTTAGAAAAAGTGCGACAGCAAGAGATAAATTAAAAGAATTACTTAAATCAAAAAACATGAAAGGTCTTGAAAAAAACATTGATATACGTTGGTTTTCAAACGAAAAAAGTTTCACTCGTTTTTTATTTGTTTTACCTGAAATTGTATTGGTACTTTCAATTGTTTGTATTGATTCTTTGCAAATTAAATTGAGTGAAAAACACAAGTATCTAAAAAGAGAAGATCTTAACCAGGATGTCAAATTAAACATTGAAAAAAATAATTTAATTGTTCTAGAAGAAGAAAGAATAAACTTTAAAATGAAACAAAATGACAACACAAAAAAGAAAATGTGGGAGAAAAAAAGATAGGTATAAATCTATTAGGTTTGGAGTTAAAAACTTAATAAAAATTCAAAATGAAAACGTCAATAAAACTGGAAAATATGAAAAACAACTAAAAATTATTAAATCGAAAAGTATAGTTTTACTTCCAACTCCAGTCGATCCAAATTGCCCCGAAAGAACACCAGAATTTTGAGAAGTTGAAGAAAGAAAACGAGTGACACGCGATGAGACTTTATGTGATTATTTGTTATGGGCAATATCGAACAAGTATTTTTTGTTTGATTTGTGTGTTTTGCGCGATTTGACAACAATATTTAATAATGTTAACTTGCGACTTCAAAAGAAAGATGAGAATATCCACTACTATATTGTACTAATAAAGGGTCTGAGGGCTAAAGTTGACCAAATTGAAAACTCACTGCTCAACAATGATTATTTGTTACTCTCGACTACAAACGCATTTGTAACAAAAAAAGAAGTTACTATTTCTATACACCTTGTAGCTATTATAACAATGAAAGAACAGTTGGCTTCAAGGTTTATTGAAATAGATCAACTTTCGTTTATGGATGACTTCCATAATATGACGTGAATTCCTCAGCTTTTTGTCAATGAACACAATTACGAAATAAAAAACGAAGTTGAACTTTTTTCTTGTGATAAAATGTTTATTAAAAAGAACGTTGTCAGACCACAAACCGAACCTGTTGTAAAAAACAACCAGTTGAAAGTGAATCAATTTGTTCTGCTGAACGATTAAAACATTTTTATAGTTTATCTACACACCCTGATTGTTATTACACCATTAGAATGTCAATAAACGATATATTCAATGATGAATACCTCAAACAAACATTTATTGTCAATTATCCAAGACTATCCATTTTAGCAGCAAGATCTTTGTCGTTGTTTATGACTTCATATTCATGTAAACAAGGATTTTCCGCACTTTCTTTAATAAAAACCAATTTCAGAAGCCAACTGTCAGATGATGTATTGAGGGCAATGATGATCATAGCATACAACACTTACGCCCCAATTTGATAAATTAGCTGAATTGATTATGAAAAGTTGTTTTTTTTGTTTACCATTTTAATGGTTTCTCTGTTTTTTTTTAAATATTTCCATTTATTTTATTTTCGAAATAAATGTTTGACCGTGCGTGTTTATTATGAAAATGTATTTCTTTAATTGTGTTTTTATTTTTCAAATTGTAATAATGGGAACTTTTAATAAGTTTTTTATAAAATGAATTTTTGGAAAAGTTTATTAATAAATCTCAAAAATGTGTAATTTTATTTTTTTCTCAATCAAAACTAGTTTAAAAGGCAATTTTATTATTATGTATTATTTGATATTTTAATTCACAGAAATTATTAAATTGCCAATTAATCCAAACCTCAACGCGCCAAAAAGTATCAAAACGGCGACCCTGATTGGGACTTATTTATGCTCTATAAATAGAGTGTATAATCCATTTAAAATAACAATTTAATTAAATATATAGTAAATAAGATTATAAACAAATATTAGGGCTTATATACGAACTTTAGGAATATTGATTTGCCAAAAATTCACCACGAGTTAGTGAAAACCGAGTGATAAGGAGCAGTATTAT